TTTTTTTTTTTTTTTTTTTTTTTTTTTTTTTTTTTTTTTTTTCCTCTTCTCTTTCCTCTCTTTCTCTCCTGAAAATGCTTACAGTGCTGACAAACAAAAAAGATTTTTAGTTTTACATCAAATTTTCCCGAGTTGATGAACCATGTGAACCAATGGCCAAAGCATTTGCTTAAGCTAATCTGTCCATTTGAATGTCCACATAATCTACTAATCAGTCTGGCTCAGGCACATGGAGGTGGCCACACCATTTCTGTGCTCCAGGTTCTTGAGTGCTCATGATGGTTAAGGCATTTTACACAGTATCCCTTACATTGAAATTTTACTGTTGTCTTTTGGGAAACTTTTTGTTTGGAAGACTTCTATTTTCATTTTCTTTCTCTTCAAATACACACACCCCTCACTCATGTCTGTATTTCTCAATATTATTCTTATGTATGWTCCTTATGAGTACAGATTGCTGAATACACATTATACTTCATACATAATAGAGTACAATAACATATGCTAGCCTCACTATTGGAGCTCATATATCCARTACAGAAGTCATGTGCTGTAACACAGGTTTTACACAGACATTGTGTAAATGGATTTTGGAGAGATTCCATAGCAAACTCACGCTCTCCTTGAAATATTAGGAGTTTTATCACTTAGATCTACTTGTGGAGGTTTAGCCTGTAGCTATGAATTCTTGTGAAGTGTACATTTCCTTTTGGATTATGTCTTCTTATCCTAAGATAAGCAACTATACTTACATTTGGTACATTTGCTAAGAAACCCAAACTTGTTAATTTGCAGATGTGAGAACTTAGCAGCGCAAGGCTTGATTTATTTGCTTGCTCAGGGTCATGTGCTATAAATAGCTTTGGCTTCTTTTCACATGGCACAAAAAACATAAATTGTTCTGAGGAGAATCATGCAAGTGTGTCCCACTCAGATGTAGTACTTAAATCCCTTTTCATTTCCATTTTTTTTCCTATATTCTTTATTATATTTTAAACACTTACTTAAAAAGATTTGCAATGGCGAGATATTTTTTTTGAAGGGTAGAAATCTGTTCTTAGAAACTAGGTTTCAAATATCCAGATTTRTTTTTTCCTTTCTTTTAATAGGGTGAGAAGAGATACAATGATGTGCTAAAGAGTCTTGCGATGCCTGCAGTCTCTGAAGTTGTGCTGAGGCCGGATGCAGCGTACAGCCTGTTACGGAGGGCTGGTGGGATGCACACCCTTTGAAGGGTCAAGTTTTGGCACACAGAAATGCTGTCATTTGCTGAAGAGAATAAAGTTTAAATTATGTGGATTCTGCTGTCCTTAGTTTTACAGCAGATGCCTATGCAAACATGCTGCCTGGATTTGGGATGAAGTCTTTGAATAAAGTATAATACCCTCCTTTTCTAGGTTAAAGATGCTAATCCAGATTAAGAAAGGAATCAAATTGTCAGATCTTGATCCTGCAATTAAAGGGACCAGTGTTATACAACACTATAAGAACACACCCAGCCTCCAAGCAAACATTCTTTTCTCATTCACAAGGACCAACAGAGTGTTTCCAAAGTTATACCCAGAAATCAGTGTCTCAGACAGGGGCAGAAACATCTAAGCACTGAATAGTGTTCTGACATTTTTCTGTCAGATTAACAGAGATTTAGCAGAGGTCTTCTAAAAATAATAAAAATAAAAATAAAAATAAAAATAAAAATAAAAATAAAAATAAAAATAAAAATAAAAATAAAAATAAAAATAAAAATAAAAATAAAAATAAAAATAAAAAATTTAGGTGGTGAGCACTGAGAGGAAAACCAGGGGACATCTATTCATCAGTTTTCTAAATACCCTATAATAAAGGAAGATACTGACAGGTACATCCTCTGTTCACTGTTGCATTACTGTGGCCATGGTGTGCACAGAAACCCTGTTTATGCAGGRCATAATAGCTTCCATGGCTTTTGTTTTAAATAGGGCCTGTGGATCAGAATTGCATTCCTTCTGGAAGATGAGGTGCAGCTGATGCACAGGAACTTCATCAACACTAAATAACTGAGAAAAGAATGTGCTCTTCTTCCTGATCCATGGAGTTCAGAAATGTGTCATCCTGCTGGCTTTAGGCGGGTTTCAGCATCTGTTCTGCAACACAAGGTTTCAGGCAGTATTACTGAGGTCTTGTGACCCTAAGACCAGAGAATTTGCCTTTACAAACAACCGTTTCCACTGTTGCTTTCTTCTTTCATGCAGGATTTTAGGTCTCTCAAACAGCTATTTCCCAAGATTTTTTTTCCTACGAGGATTTCTTTTTCTTCTGGGAACTGAACTTCAGAGGGAGGTTAAGGAGGTCATGCCTTCATAAAATTAATCAGAGGATCAGAGGCATTGAACTAGATGCTGTTGCCTTTCCAAATTCAAGACAAATCTGTAACGTGCATTTTGTTAAAAAAATAATAAAGAAACCCATCAAATCATTCAACACTCCTTACAGATATTTCATTAAGGAAACAAACAACCCTTCTCCCTCAAATCGCATCATCACATGAGGAAACCACCATGCAGTGCATTTTTCAGTCTATTTCTCTACAGAATGCCCTTTTCAGGGAACGCATGCTGGGCTCAGAAGGAATAGATATGTCAGCCTTTACATACATAGGGACAGGCAAAACAACGCTCTTTCTGGATCTGGAGTAGGACACATTGAACTACTTGTTTTAGGACTATAACCAAAGTTTTGTTTAATTCCAGTCCATTTATCTTGTACTGGCAAAACTGGATAGTAGCTCTTGAACTGCTGCTCAGTGTTGGCTCTCGCATGTGTTAAGGGATACTGGACTTCAGTGTGATCCACATACTCTTGTGCAGTCTGGCATTTTATGAGCTGTACTCTGCTCACCACTATCCACGTTCCTTAATGCAGGTGAGGAACTAAAGGACATCAAATTGCGGGGACGGCTGTAAGGTTATGGCAGAGGTCTCTCTGCTTTGGCAGCTCATCTTAGTTGGCAGGAATGCAGTATTTTTTCCTCATAATATTTCCACATCCTAAGGCAAATTTGTAACTCCAAAAGTCAGAAAATTCTGTTTTCACCCATTGGAAGCCTCTTCCATTATTAGCATATATATATATATATATATATTTTTTTGCACACTGAAAGCAGCTATTCCATGTGCTTTGAACACAAAAGGTTTGGAGGTGGAAGACCAAGCTTTGTTCTCATTCACACTGGTGAAACAACCTCTGACTCCTCCTATGAGCAAGCATTGGCAATCTGACCCCAAATTCTCTTCCAAGAGCAATAAGCCATCAGGTACCTACCCAGGCAGGGGATTGCCACTGAGCAATTGGAAAATAAGCAGTACTGGTCAGTAACATGTTGCTCTGCCATCCTCAAGCAGCCTGGGACGCTATTCATCTTCCAGCTGTTCCAAGAAAATAGTCACTGGAGGACACCAGTCCTGGGAGGTGTTACCCCACATGAGTGCCCCGGCAGGGTCATCACTCACCTGCACTCACAGCTTCCACCAGCCCTTCAAATCCAGCTGCACTGCAGTCTGTAGCAGATCTGCAGAGACCATGCCCCCAGCAGGCAGCAAACAGGGAATAAGTGACTAGAAAGAGGGCAATCCCAACACAGTGTGTTAATTAGGATGATTAATTGCAGGGTTACTGGTTAATTAATTTGAAATGTCTGGCTCAGCAGAATTCAGTCTGCAGGTTTACTTTTATGGCAGAGATTCTAAGTTATGAAGTCAAAATAGTCTTACAATACACAAAGCATCAATGCTTTAAACTAAAAAAGGCAGSTAAACAGAGAACATTAGTGCAAATACTAATAAATAATATAAATATAAATAAATATAAAATATCTGGTGTCTATATTACCTTCACAGAAATGCTATATTACAAAGTTTTTTCTTCAAGTTGTTTCACTGCCAGTCATTCACTGGGTCATTCATGCTCATGCTGTGATCATTTCTTTTTATTTAATGTGATTTCCTGTGTTTCACTGATCTCTGGAGGTCCTTTTTACTTCAAGTTATACTTCAAATACAGCTGTAATTAGCACCAGTGTCAAGTTGCTGCTACTGTTAAGGTGCTGCATTTGCACAGTGAAGACTTCTGCTTGCTTTTATTTTCATCTGCTCCCACATTTTAGTTTCATTTTGCTCCTAAAATACTTCTAAGCCCTTAGGACTTCTAAAGAACATGGAACCTGTGCAAGCTCAGGATTAAGACATATCCTAGCCTGGAATCATGCAAAGCTTCAACCCTTCTTTTTTTATACATATATTAAGCAATGTTCTCATGTTGCTTAGTCATGTCCAGACTGAACTGCTTCTAAACACATTCAGGAGTCAAACTTTGGGGTTTTGTAAATGATGAAGTTGAGACAGAGACTGAATGTCATCTCTCCTGTACGATGAGGCCAGATGATTAATCAGTCTTGATAGAGGTGATAAGGCTGCAAAACTTAAAGTCAGTCAAATAAGCATTTTATGTATTTGAAATGGTATTTGGAAGAGTGTTCATTTACTGGTATAACTTTGTGAACTGGAGGAGACTCATGGTTTTGGTTACTGGGTGAATTTCCATTTTGGCCTGATCTAATATCATTAACCTGATCTGACTTTGAAGGTGCCTCTATTTAGCCAGAGGGTTGGCCTCACCAACCTCCAGAGGTCCCTCCCAGCCTGAGCTGCTCCATGATTCCACCTCTCCCGGCCTTGCACCGCTCTGCTGGTATTTGTTGCCTTTAGGCACTGAATGATGCAAACTGATGTTAGATCAAAAGCAGAGTCAGAGACAATTCATATTACTATGGTAAAACGTAGGTCCTTTCTCTCCAGTAATTCATTTATTTCATTAAAAGTTAAGGCCATATCTGTTATTTATTCACTTTGAAGATGATTCCATTGATGTTAGCAGTTAATCTGTGGAAGAAATAATACACGATGCAAGCAAGAATATTATTCTTGCTTATATTATTATATTGGGATCTGGCCCAGCTTTCTGAAACTGCAGTTCTTTTCTTCTATCAGAATACATGCAGACTAATTCTGATTTCTGTAAGTGTGTTCTTTATTCATAAGTACTTATTGAATACTTTTTGCAGACAAATTCAGGCCATAGATTGTTGGCAAACTATTCATATTAGCCAGTCACTATTTATAATGGCACTCACATAAGATGGGACAGATTCTGCTCATATAAATGAAGGCATTTATATTTTCTACATACTGTAGAAATTACAGTATATAGTACAGTATTACTACAATACTGTAGCTAACGGTGGATATTAAGTTTAGCTACTATCTACATACTTCCAGAATAACACCTATAAAACCTGTGTAAATGTGTTGTCCATGAACTGATAAATAAGAGTCTTCCCAAATAAATTGATCTCTTTGCTGTATTTACAGAATATGTCTTAATCTTTTATTGTTTAATTTAATCACCTCTTAAAGCATTCCCAGTGTCACTGCACAGAAAATAACATCAACATTTCTTTTGCGTTTAGACTGAGCCTCATGAGCACTCAACATCTGGAACTCTTTAGCGCAGAACTGTTTAATATTATTGTCCTCCAAAAAGACACACAATTTACATCACGACTGCAATGGCTTTCCCTGGTTTAATCTTCTCATTGGTTTATGGACCACATAGAATAAGTAATGTGCAAACCTAAGTATGTCGACTTCTTAGGACAACAACAGTTTATGAGAGACTCAAAATTATTAAGAACAATGTAATCACAAGAGAGAGCATTAAAAAAGYCAGTCTATTGAATGCTGTTAAATGATTGCAAACAGACATGTTTAAGCACAGTGAAGTGCCAGTTTCTAAACTCTGTTTATATCAACAGTATCTGTGCTAGTCTTTCTGGCATTTTTTTTTTTTTGACTGGTACATGCCTGGCTATGGATTTTGCTGCTTGCTGCAGATTACACTCTGAGGGTGATGAGGGTCAAAGCTTAAAATCTCTCCTGGCTGCTTTTCCTGCCTGGCAAACATTTTTTCTTGAAACATAGATGATGACTGTGAATGTTAATGTTGCCTCTCTACTTGAACCAAGAGGCTCCATATTTGTTCCATTTTCCATATTTGTTCTGAAGGCTTCCATTTCAAGGTTTCCTTACCTTTTCTTCCTAAAGGTTCCAAACTTTCAAGAATAGAAGTAACATGGAAGTGAAGACTGGCCTTTCCCCCCTGAAGTTTAGGGCAAATTAAATTTTCAAAGTGTAAATGAGGGTGGGGAGGTTATTTTCAAAGAAACTGAAAGTGTTGTAGACTGTAGAGTGGCTTTTTTCTTTCTGGCAAGTATAAAAGTATGATTGCAGCAAAGGCAAGTGCCAAGCAGCGAGAGCATGGAAGTTTGCTCTCACACAACATGTCCAGCTGCTGGGAATGAAACCCCCTATAAGCACATTTCTCCTCCTCAGTGGACAGACAACATGCTATGTCATTAATTAATTAATTTGTGTTTGAAAGCTTAGCTGCTGATGGCCACGCTGACTCATATTCTTGAGAGCAGGTTTAAGACTTAAGAAGGTGTGTGTGTGGATTACAGCCCGTGAAATCATATAGCCATTTCTGCGGGGCTCATCATAGCCTAATGGGTGCATAAAACATTTAGTTGCTGCACTAATACATAGAAGGAATACATTGACTTGAAATAGCTCCACTATAAACTAAATGCCATTCAGTTATCTGATTTGGAATAAGTCCCAGTCTATGGCATTAGTCATGAGCATCAGGGTACAGGTATGTGGAATTTTTATTTATAATGTATTTTGCTGAAAGGATATTACAGACTTGTTGGCAGAAAGAAAAACAGCAACAAAAGAAGTGAATCTATTTATTTCTAGCTAAAATTTTTGAGAGCACAGGTGTGTAATGGCTGGTTTCACTGCAAAACGATCAGTTTTACTGCATTTATATCTGCTTAAGTGAACATGCACCAGCTGGAAAAAATTAAATCAGCATGAATCATACATCCAAAAGGTCACAAATCTAAAAATATACATCCCAAGGAAAAGATAAAAATGATGTATGTAAACCAAAATTGCCACGTCAAAATAAAAACTCTTCTAAACATCCTAAACTAAGGACATTAATTAATTTGAAAGTAATGTGGAAAGAGGTGAATGGCCACCCYGTGATGTTACTGTCATTAGAGGAAACACAGCTAAGGAGATAAAAGAAGATCACGCAGAGCCCAGGAGAAGATTAAGTCCCTTTATCTCACTGTGGGAAGAGGGGGGGCGTATGCACAGGTTGAATTTTGTGTACGGAGAAGAGGGAAGAGCTCCACAAATGACTGGAGTCAAGTGTCAAGTCCTACTACCTAAATGAACCGATGCCAAGTGGCAGAAATGTGGGTGGGTGCTGAGCGTCCCAAAGTCACCCAGCTGTTGGTCAGAACTACAAAGCTAACAAGTTAAAGCCAATCCCTCTTCCTAACTAAACTGTGAATATAAGTTTTGAAAGGGAATGAAGACATGAAGCTCTGCTGGATGTTGTTCTTCCTTGTCACAGCCTAACGCTCAGCAAGAAGGAAGAAACCCGAAGCCTATATATGCACGTGTGGGGAAAGGAAGCAAAATGCAGGTGATTTTGAAGTCCCAGCCTTATTAGTGAATCCCAGAGCTGTTTGGATTCAAAAGTAGATCCCACAATGCCTGGTCAAAATTGGATCACATATGTGTGTCTGCCAGACGTTTCTAAAGGTATTAATCACCCTTCTGCTTCCCAGAGTAAAACATCGTTACAACATCCTGGACTGGGAGAAGCACCTTTGCAAACATGAAATGCTGTTTGCTGGCCACAGAAAAGCTGGGCTGACGGCTACGCAGGAAAACAACACATGTATTGTCCCATGTGACTTTTTCTAGAGAATATGGCTCATGTTTAAATTTATCAGTAAACCACCCCCTCACTCTTCTCTTAGATATCTAATTACAGCAAAAGGGCCAGATTGGCTCACACTAAGCTGCTGTAAATAATATAGATCCATTAAATTCACTGGAATAAGCCTGGTTTGCAATGATATAGGATCTGGCCCAGAGTATTTACACGGTGTTTTGATAGAATATTTGTTTTCTTCTGTCTGCTGGCTGTCTGGGTTCTGCATTAAAATTGCCCTCTTGTGCCCATACATCTCCCTTCCTCCCTTTCTGTGCTATTTTTGGATCTTGTAAGGCCATTGCAATGCCAATACACCTGCTATGTGCAATCATTTCATAAGTGTACAGTTCCTAATAGGCTTAATGGGTTTGCTGTTTCTTGTCTTCTTCAGACTGTCCATTTTTGCTTGTCAGGTGGTATCTTCTTTGCCTGGTAGCATTAATACTTTTACTGTTTTGCTTGGGTTTATTTGTATAGGTTTTTGAAAGAGAGCTAGAAGGAGGAACTATTACCGTAAAAACTTTTATGCTTGTGATGATGGAGTGGGACAGGCTCTGTACCRTTCTCTACAGGTGGATACATTCCAAGTTTGCCTAATCTCCCCAGCACTATTTTTCACTACCTCATCTCCTTGACTACTGGCTGCC